CCCCCCCGTACGCTCTCCTCTGGTGGCTAGATCATGATTCAGTATTGCACGTGTGATGTCACCTCACGCTTTGCTTAAGCCTCATGCTTACCTGCTTAGATATGTTGGTCTTAATTTCACTAAGTGCTCAATCTTAGTAATAACTTATGACAATGAGGTTTGTTTATGAATTACAGGCTCTTTATTTTTGTAGCATTACACTTACTATCTTTGTAATTTTAATGATATCCCTTGGTCCTTTACTTTTGTGTGGAGTAAGAACAGCAGTTGACCTTCCTGATCTTAAGTACTTTCTCATGGCTCCATGTGTTCATCTCTAACCCCCTCTACAGTTATTCATTTTTTAAGCAATAACACAAATGGCACATCCCTCTAGCGTCTGTGTTTTCTGGAGAGATCAAAAATGAATTACTACTAATGGCAAGTGTAATTTGAAAAGAAAGGCAGTAATGCATTGCTCTTACCTCTTACGTGTTCTTCCCAAAAGGCAGTTTAAGATGCTTCTGGAAAGCGTATCTATTGAGGACTCTGGTGGTGGTGCTAACAGAACAGCAGCCATAGTACTGCTGGCAGAAGCCTGTCAAATTTAACGAATAGTCTCTTCACAAATAAACAGATGCACATAGACACAAATCTATACTAAAAGCTTGTAGAACCTAGGCTAGACAAGAACTTTGGCCACAAATACAATGCTTCGTTTTTTGCCTTGGTTTTGAACCCAGGAAACAAAAGAATATATTACATTTATATGAAGCAGCACAGGCTAGTCATGTTTGACTTTAAAATGCCTCTTCAATTTGCCTCCTTGACACCTGTGGGTGTCTATTCTGTATGTAGTCTTGTCCCTTCAGAACAGTGGCTGACAAATTATATATCATCTCCTTTTCAAAATAGCAGCTGAATCATCTTCTCACTTCAGAAGAAGGAAATTCTCTTGCACCTGGTTTTTCTCCCCTCACAGTGCAAAGCATACAATTGATAATCTCGCTGTCTTCTTTTTAAGCTCCTACTATTTTCACCCTGCCTAGACAAATATGTTACAAATACTGTGTGTAGGGTTCAAGTCCAAATAAGCACGGTGCTCTAAACCTGACAAACACCAAGCATTGTCTTAAGAAAAAAAAGTTATTGAATCTTGTGTTTACAGAGGCAGGATGTCAGAGGGGAACAGCAGGTGTAATGTGTCACCAGAAAATTACAGGAGAGTCAAAATGATCTTAAAAGCCAAAAAGCTAAAGGTCTGTCTTGATTTCGACTGACAGGCTGGGTTTTGCTTAGTGGAACCTTTCACATACCAGTTGCTATTGTCCCCAGAAGAAAATGGTGATCGGGTACGAGAACTGCTTCTAACTTCCTTCTGCAAAAGGTGTTTGAGAACTGATTTGTCCTCCTCAAAAAGAATTACTCTTGCAGAATTTTTACGAGCGTACCAGGTTACCAGCAGGAACTATTGCCGTTTGGGAACGGGAAGCAGAGCTGAGTAATCAAGTCCCATTTGAAGAACAAAGAACCCGCCAGTAGATCCTAGCTGGGAGTCGCCGTGGGTTTATGGATCGCTTTTGTAGCATCCTTATACTTGTAAAACAGTTGCACCAGATTTTATGGTTCCGAAATAGGTCTTGACCGATGTTCAGGTAGTATAAGTCATGACAGTCTGTGGGAAGAGACCCCTGCCTTTCTCAAGTGGTCTGCAGAGACTACGAGTGTACTAACTACGGTTTCTAGTAGAATTATTCCTTTAGTTAGAATTGTAAAGTTTCATGCTGTTTAGTCTTAACAGTACCAGGTCTGGTATCCATGCTGATGTATCATGCTACTTTCTGTCTGTCTGTCCAACAACGTGATATGGATTGAACTGCAGATCACAAACTTTGATCACAGTACCTAGGATGCAAAATAGCATATCTGTTCTAATCCGAGTAACGCAGTAATGCAGACTTGGCCTCACTATCAGCTGTGTGAAGACAAGTTCAGGCAATGGTTAGACTGTCAACCACTGGAAGAAGCAGCCCACAACTTGGAGATGTGGAACTTCTGGAAACGGAGCCTTCTTGAAAGCGTTTAATGTGTTAGCTAAGGTGACAAATTACTGTGTGCTGGTTTTGGGTAGAGGCACCGACTAAAATTAGGACCCTGTGTGTCAGGTACTGTACAAATACCAGTCAGGATAATTTTCTTTCCCGGACAACTTATGGAGCGGGAAGAAGATGAAGTGACCTGACCTTGGTTACTACATTCAGGTGAGTGACGTGGCTAGGACTGGAAATGATATGTCAGCACCTAACCTGTTGTATTATCTAGTAGACTACACTTGATCAGTTTGCTGAAGGATGGATAATGGCTTATTGTTATTTCCCTCAAGAGCAATCACCTCGTCCTCTGTGTCTTTTCCAGTGCTTTTCTGAGCTATCATTATGCTGCTTATCTGACGTTTGCTCATTTTTTTACATATGATTTCCACTGCGCTCGCAACAGTCATGGCTATGTAATAATGCTCTCTCTTATCTCCTTAACCTGCATTGCTCTAAATTTCCTGTCTCCAGCAGTTTCGCTCGCTATTTGTGTGTGTGCGGGTGCCTGGCACTAAAAAGATGCCTGATGTACACTGCTTACTATCTTCAGGTGAATATTTCCAAGGGCACTAGGGCCTTACAATTAAAGGTAAAAGGGGTGTAACCGCGACTTTGCCTGAGAAGCCTCTGGCCTCTTCTTCGGTTATTATAAAATTTTAAATTGTGTGCTTGTTAAGCGTTTGTCGTGCTTGTTCTTTCACTACGGTTCTCATTCCTGTCCCACCAAAATGTTAGTTCAGGCTGCTCTGAGCCAGTTGGGGTTAGCTGCTGTACTGTAATTTGCTTCTCTTCAGTGTGTGTTGGCTTTTCTCTGTGTCTCTTGGATTAAGAACACACTGTGCCAATGCTTGTAGGCACAGGGAAGAAAGGATTCAGCAGGCTCGATAGAATGATAGAAGCGGCACCACCAGCAGCCTTCCTCTGTGGCCTAACCCTACCTGGAGGGTCACGGGGAGAGCATGTCCGTCATATTTGGGCTCACAGAGCCAAACACCTACATAAATGGATTGCTTTAGTGAAATGTCTCCATCTGGGAGACTGATCCCTCTGTATGTTTGTCTCAGCACAAACTGGCAAAATCTTCTGACCCTTACTGCATAGAATTAGAATTATAGAATTCTATAGAAGGGACCTATGACGATCGTCTAGTCCAACTGCCTGACCGCTTCCGGGCTGACCAAAAGTTAAAGCATGTTATTCAGAGCATTGTCCAAATGCCTTTTAGACACTGACAGGCATGGGGCTTCGATCACCTCTCTAGGAAGCCTGTTCCAGTGTTTGACCACCCTCTTGGTAAAGAAACACTTCCTAACGTCAAGCCTGAACGTCCCCTGATGCAGTTTCGAGCCGTTCCCACATGTCCTGTCACTGGGTCCCAGGGAGAAGAGATCCGCACCTCCCTCTCCACGTCCCCTCCTCGGGAAGCCGTAGAGAGCCACGAGGTCGCCCCTCAGCCTTCAGACAAGCCTGAAGCCCTCAGCCGCTCCTCACAGGACGTGCCTTCCAGCCCTTTTTCACCAGCTTTGTTGCCTCCTCGGGACGCATTCAAGTATCTTAACATCCTTTTAATGGGATCTGGGGCCCAGAACTGCACGCAGTGCTGAAGGTGGCATTTTAACTCTTTCTTCAGAGATGAAGAGCTGCCTTGCATAGGCAACCTCTCATATTTACAGTCACATTTTCCATCTTTGCCATGCACGTGAACGCATTCTCTTCTTTCGTTAAGAATCAATAGATTCCAATTGGTACAGGCCTTTTTTTTTTTTTCTTTTTTTTTTTTGGAACAGATTATTGGTTGCTGTCTGGCCTGAGCTCTTATAAAGTAACCCAATACCATGCCCTTCCAGAACAAACACAGCAAATGCCCATTGCTAAAAGGCAGCAGTGACTCCTTAGCGAGCTGCTTCCTGGCTGTATATGTTCTTATTGGGGTGACTCAGGAGCTGCTTCACAAGATGCAGGAAAAATTCCCCATCTTTACCCTGATTGCAGCTGGACTACTGGATTTATCTGGTGAGTGATGTGTTTTGTTCTAATCTCAATTGCTGTCTTTCTGTCTTCTTTCCCTCTATTAGTGAGCAGAAAAACTATGCTAAATATTGTGCCATCAGTCTCAGGTGTGTGACAACAATGAGATGAAGGAACAACTTCTCTCTGTTTGTGCAGCTGTGCTGTAAGGCTCAAGGTTTGGTTTAAATGGTTTCTGTTGTGGGAGTGTTAGTGGCTGCAAACTGGGACACAGCTGTGCTACTTACCCAAGCTAAGAGACAGTCCCTTCCCCGAAGAAAGTATTTTCTCCTTCAGGTGGGGGAAAGCAAAGGAAAAATAGAGTCACTTTTCACAGAGTAGGTCCGTAGCGGAACTGAGGATCAAACTCCTGTCTGCTGAAGCCTTGTTCAGAATATACTTTTCCAGGTGCTGCTGCTTATCATCACATTAAGCATGGGCTCCCCTCTTCACCACACAGTAACGCATTGTTCTGCATTTTCTTTGGGAACAGCTGTCCTGCCAAATATTTCTGACAGCGTGAAATCAATGATGCGTCTGTAAGGCTGTTGTGCCTCAAACGAGTTCCTAGGGCTGCTGTCACTCGTTGCAAGAAACCAGTCAGTCTTGGCTTTCTACCTCTTACTGTGTGCCTGTGAGCATACCCTGCGAGTGCACGTAAAATTAGCTTGGCCAATAAAAGCAGTCTTGTGTCTTCAGGCAGACTGTTCTCTTCAGTAAAGATAAACCTGAGGGGTGGTGTCAAAGAATTTCCCACCTAATCAGTAATTCTATTCTTTTTGTGGGTTTTGTTTGTTTTGTACAGTTTTTTTAATTACCTTGTCCCCCTGCAAGGTGTATTTGTGGATATTTACACCACTTTCTTTATACAAGACCTTGATTAGTTAGAAGTAGAGAAGTTATTATGTTCTGTCTGCTGTGCCACATCCATAAAACAAACCAGCTTCGTCCTGCTTGGTCACCCAGTATGAATCAGGAAACTCATCACAGGACTGGGTTATTGGGGAAGGAAGAGTGGGTAAGGAGAGCCAGGAGAGTGAGCTCGTTCATGTATATATTAATCTTGCTTTGCTATTAAAGAGCTACCAGCCTGTCCTCTGGCAGCCTGAGGGTTTCATTCTCCCTGCATCTTTGGCCGTCATTTATACCTTGTACAATTAAGCTAAAGGGTTCCTCTCTGGCTGGTTAATGCTTTGCGTGAGTATGGCAGGAGTATGAAGTGTCATCCTTCCTATGACACTGAATATCAACAGCAGAGGACTAGAGTTATAGCAGCTTGCTGTAAGAATGGCAGTGCCAGAGCTGCCCATCCTCCCTCCTGTACGGTTCTGAATGCAGCCAGTGGCCGCTTAACTCTCTGCTTCCCGCTCAGCCTGTTGCAAAGTGCTGCTGCAAGCTGTTAGAAGTTCATGGACAACTGAATAGGCAAAGGGCTTGTTTTCTGTTCATTAGGTGCCTCCAGGAATGAACATGATGTCAGTGAAGTATTAGCCCTGAGCTTTCCTGGAGAAGACCAACTGAGAGCTGAGAGCAGCCCGGCGCCCAGCGAAGTGTTCTCCATTACGGAAGATGATAACTCAGATGAGGTGACCTTTAATTTTCAGAGTCCAGCAGTTGATCCTACCAATGAAACGACAGCTGACTTCGTTCCTGTCCATACAGAGACAGCTGCAAAAGGAGCAGCCGTGCTGCCTAGGGAGTTGGATAGAAACTTGGAGGTGTCTGAGCAACTTCACACAGAAGCAGCATCTTTAAAACTCCAGGATGGACACACATTTCCTAGCAAACTCTTGAGTAGCATAAGCACCCCTGTCTCCACACAAGGATCACAGGCTACCACGCATCTGGAACAGCCGGAGAGGTCACTGCAAGGAAAACCAGAAAATATTACTGAGGTTGGTTTCAGTCCTACCAGCTCTAGTGCTGGGCTGCCCCAGCCCCTTCTCAGTGGAGGGACACACCAAGACTCTCCGGAGTTTATACCTGTCTCTGCCATTCCTGTTATCAAGCAGATGGAGGTGCCAAGTCCTATAACGTCTCTTCTGACTTCAACGGTAAATTTTCATCCTCCAAGAAAAGAAATAGCAGCATCTCCATTTCCCACCAGAGTTGAGATTGCTTTTGAAAGTGCAAGGGTGGATTGTTTACCAACAGTAATGCCTCCCACTAGCAAAAGGCAAAAAGACATAAATCTGCAAGTTCAGCCTGACAGCAAAGCTGGTGTGACACCTGCATACCTGAAGAAGACTCAGAGTATGGATGCTAAAGTTACAGCTTCTGCATTCCTACAAAAGCCAGCTTCAGGGGACCTTGATGCAGTCTGTTCCAGAACGACACGGACAACTGCTGTTCAGTTTTCCCCTATTTTATCTCTGAAGCAAGAAACAACAGGCAGTAAAGCCAGAAACTCGACACCAGCTGTAATGAATGGTTCTGGACACCCAGCCCAGTTGCCTGATCTTCAGACACTCCCACAAGGCAATGTACATTCTTCTTCATTATTGATGCATCTGGAAGCTCTGGTTCACGATGACTTACTTCCATCTCCCTTTCAAGGGCCCATTAGCACAACTGATAGACAGCAGCCCCTCTCTTTGTCCCAGACTCTCAACTGTACTAAACAACATGTTTCCCAAGAAACCAACAGGAGCTCCCAAGAAATCACAGTTCTAGTTTTGCAAAGAGATACTGATCATCAGACAATGACAAGTAAACCTGAAAAATCCAGATCTCCTGAGAGCCCCCAGGCTTCTGCTAATTCATCTTCATTAAGCCAATCATGGATTTCCACATTAGAACTTTCCCAAACTACTAAAGAGCAAAAAGGAGGAACGTCTGCATTTTTTCCAGGTACGTCTACCTTTGAGAATGCAGCCCTTCAACCTGTAAGCGCTTTTGATTCTGTTCGTGCAGGGCTTCAGCCGCCAGGTACATCTTTTCCTACTTACGTTGGATTGCAGCTAATGGGCATCCCCACCTCTGCTGAGAAAGGACTTCACATACCAACTTCATCCAAGTCTACAGGTTCTGGGTCTCAGGTTCAAGGCATTTCTGCGCATCCTGTATCTCGGGAAGCCTTCCCTATGATGCTGCAGATGAGCACAGTGGAAGACGCCAAGAGAAAGAAAAGTCTCCCACAACAGACAGGTAAAAGTGGTTCTCCCCCACTGACTCCACAAGCCAGCCCAGTCCCCAGCCCCTCTGAACTGCATGCCAACAGCAACCAGAAAGTTCCTCTTCACAGCTTTGCCCCTTCAGCCTCCCCCATCCAGCAGGCTGGCAGCCTGGCAGCTTTTGCTTCAAAACTGCCCTCGCTCCGTGCACAGGGAAGCCAGTCCAGCTCAACAGCAGCCCATCCTGAACCAGTGGTGCCCAGTGTTTCTGATGAGATGCCAGCATATCTGGCACAAGCACCGGTGCAGCAGTTCAGTATGTCACATGATGCAGCTACCAAAAACCTCAGTGCTTTGAGAGGTGATCAACTTACAAAGCTACCATCATCCCCATACTTGTCCTTTCTGCTTAAAAATACTAACGGTATGATATGCCTGCAGCCCATGCAAGATTCCCCTCTACCTACAAAATTCCCAAACACCAGTGTCGGGGGTCTGGTTTCCATTCAGCAAATCCTGGCAGCATCAAATTCTTCAGCACTGGACCTTGCAAACTTACAAAATCTGAGCCCTTCTAGCTTAATTCTGGTTAAGCCTGTGTTTATCCTTTTGCCCACTGACAGACCAGATTTATGGATGGTGCCCTCTCCTGAGGGTGAAGATGACCACAAAACTACCCTTTTGTTCCCGACCAAGCAAGATCTGAATTTGGGTACCCCTGAAATCAGCCATGATATCCCAGTGAAAACTAGTTCCTCTTATCCCACGAGTAAGTCTTTGAGGCCTGAACCTGCTGTCTCCACTGCATCTAACCAACAAGCAGAGAAAAGAAACGTAACTCCTCAGCCAGTGCTAACTAATCCTAATTATACAGCCGTCACTAGTTTGTTTCAAGCTGTTACCTCAGCATCAAACCATTTGCTGGACCCACGGATGAGGATTAGCACTACAGTGCAGGCCATGCATCTGCACGGGCTGCCTGAAGAGATGCAGGTACCTGCTCCCAGTTCCCAAGAGGCCAAGGGGACTGATTTGCTTTTACTTAACGGTATGCTAGCAGAGCCTTTCACCTCCACTGTGCCGCCATTAGTGGTGTCTGCGCAGCATAACCCCCGTATTTCCCCCGAAGTATTTTTTACCGCTGAAAAGCCACGTTCTTCTTCTGTAATTCCTTTACGGTCAGCAAAGGGACTCCCTGATTTTCAAATGCCTGCCCAACCTCCATTTACTATCACAGGGACTGTAGATCGGGTTCAGCACAGTAAGAAACTAATGCTGCAAACTACCAGCCATCGTCAAGGCTTAGTGACCACACCTTCCTCTGTCCATGCACAATGCACAGAGTGTTTGACCTTGGGCTCTGCTAGAACCATAAAATACCCATTAAAGATGTTCACGAGCATCACGCCTTTGCAGGCCACGTTGCAAAGTCTCCTAAGTACTGAGTCACTTCAAAGGCTGCCATCACAAGTTCAGTTTGTACCCAGCACATCATCAGCTTTCTCAACGCTTCCAGCTGGAAATGATTGCAAAGATTCGGTAGCGGGCAGCACGGCCTGTTCAGGAGGAGTCACTGTGCGTGCTAAAGCAGCACAAACCCACGCCACTTCTATAAAACCTGATCTTACTAAACATTTGGAAGCTACTCCTATTGTGTCTAAGCCCATTATAACGACAGAGACACCAACAATAGCACCAGCGCATACTCCATTTTCAACGAAGGTCCAAATGAAAACAACAGTTTCTGGGAAACTTCTGGCTACAGTTACCCATCCAAGGATGTATACCAGCTCTCCTGCAAGCCCACCTTCACCTGCATCTACACACGTTCCCCTGCTATCAGCCATGACACGTGACCAAAGCCAACGAGCCCCTACTAAACCGTTCTCACAGGCCAGCATGGGAGAAAATACAAAGCCAACTGAAATCAGCACAAGTGCAAGAAAGACAGGAACTGGTAAATTCTTGGGAACAAGCGTGTCCCTGTCAGCCATGTTTAAGACAAGGACACAGCAACCCTCCACAGCAGTTCTTGGGAATGAGGTTGTTTTAACTCCAGTACAACCATCTGTGTCTGCAGGATCTATTAGTGCTCTTGAGAGACAGCCTAAATTGACACAGACCACATCACAGTCTCCATTAGCAATGACTTCTCTCTCTGCAGCTAAGAATGATTACATCACTACTTCACTTACAAAGAAAAAAGCATTTTTCCTGCCAACATCAACTGTCCGGTCTGATCCAAACATGGTGCTGCCTACAGTTGCCAGAGTGAACAAGAGTGAGGACGTGTTAGTAAAAGGAGATGCAGCCACTGCTAGCCAGCTGCCCACTCAGGCACCCATGACTTCACCACATCAGGCATCAGCAAGATGCCCTTTGGAGAAGGTATCACTGGAAGATGACATCGAGCATGAGACTGGTCATTCCAGCCCTGACGCTGCTATGCGTGCCACTGGCCCATCTACAACAAAAGCGTTTTCTGTCTCTGCTAATAGGCTTGTAAATAAGGTTACTAATCAGTCAGCTGTCTTCAATAAAGTAGCTGTGAATGATGCTGGGATGCTTCTAGCCAGAGATCTAATCCAGTTGCTCCCAACCCCAGAGAGCCCCTCGTATTCTCCTCGGAGTCTGGTAGTGCTTACGCCACAGGGGAATTCCTTGCTGGGTGTTGCAAACACTGGACAATCTGAGGGGCTGCTCTTGAACACGGAGGCAGAGGAGGCGGTTAGAACAAACAAAGTAACAGAAGAAGCAGCTGAAGGCTTAGTAACTCTTCTAACGCCGCTGGATTCGGAGCCCAGAGCACTGCCGAGTGAATCACATCAGAGGAGGGTTTTGCAGTCGGATGCTGCCATTCTGAATGGGTAATTATCTCACTGTAGTTGCTGTTGCTTATTTATGCTGCATGATTTAAGGAGGGGGGGGTTAATATCCAAAGTGGTCCATGGGCTCAGTAACATGGGTATGCTGTATTGTGGTTTTAAAAACATGTAGTTCGTTCAGCAACGACATCACCTTAAAAAAAAAAAAAAGTCTTTTCACATTTCGGATAGTAATACTGTCCTTCAGACCTAGTTTTCTTTTGCCCAATAGCCTTCAACTCTCTGCCTCTCCTCCCAAAAACAACCCACATGCAATTTTGCAGGTGGGAACGTTTGATATTGCCCAAGCGATCAAACGCGCTAGCAAAGAAGGTAGATCCTTCCACGCAGTAGAACACTTCCAGGTTTCCCTCGGTTCAAATGATTTGACTGTGCAGAGAGGCAGGAGATGGTTCCGATCATGGGAGGCTCTGTCGTGCCAGGGTCTACATGTTGTTCGTTTGTTTCAACTTGCTGTTTGGTTTCGCTGAGGAAACTCACCCTAATGCTGTTTTATTCCTCGCAGGCTGTGGAACCTAGCTGGGCCTCAGCTTTTTTTCCTTCTTTCCCTAAAGCCTTGCAGTTGTGAGTGATGATGTCTGCGGCTCCGGTAACTACACTGTGCAGATGAGCCTGCGCCCTGCTGCGGAAGCAAGCCCCGAGGTCGAAGGGTCGGTGCCTTCCCGGGAGACTTTCCTGGCTTTAATTGCTGTGCAGAGCAACAGCAGCCAGCCCGTGCTCCAGATCCGGTCATGCTGCGTGACGCCTTCTGCCAGCCCAGGGGGACCAGGCGCGATGTGCTGCCTGTTCCACAGGTCAGACATGGAGCTGCCGGGAGGGGCGTAGCTTCACGCGGCTCTTTGGACCTCAGCTGGGAATAGGCTGATGCTTAGAGGACCCTCTCTTTTGTATCCTGTGGCTGCAGTCTGATCTCTTTGGAGTTCAGTGTAAGCTCAAAGCAGTGAGAATGAGTCCGAGAGTGCTCTGGTCCCTTAGCTGTCTTGTAACTAATACTAAGGGCTTGATAAGACAAAGAGCCCTCAGGGAAAAAAATCTCCGTTCACCCTTTGATTTATGTAGATAAGCAGTCCTGCTTTTCCACGCTGTGCTGCCACAGATGCCAGGTTACAGCATGCTCCTGCAACTCCTGTTAGGGGATGGCACAGCCTAGGAGCAGAGCAGTCCAAGGATGGGAGCCAGGCTTCTCCACAGGCCTCCATTTCCCCATCAGCATTTCACGGCTGTTCTTGCCTAACCCATCAGGGTTGAGCACAGGGTAACTGGAGGATTCATTAGTTGATGTTTGTAAAACCACCGGGGCATGAAATATGTGTTAGAATTGCTACACATTATTGTCATCAGTTTTCTGATTTGCCCGTATCGGCTATAGTGTCAGTGCTTCTGAATTTGTCTAGGTCAGGGAATGATTATCGCACTAGAGCAGCCATTTCAATGGTTGTAGCCTGAGATGCTGGCATTTTGTGGATTTTTGTTTGACTCTGACTCTGTGGATGCAGGTACCTGGCTTAGAACTTGTGCGGACCTGTGCCAGCAGATCCCCCTCTTCCCTGCCTTTAGTCAGGGAGAGCTGGAATTTGAAACTGTTTGCCATTTGTCCTTGCCAGGTTGCCATTTGAATGCAGACACATCCAGTTACTGCAGAGCAGCAAGTCCAGAGCTGCTAGCTTCACCATCCAGCTGTTCCAGATGCTGAATCATTCAGTGGCCTATTTGCATTGCGAGCTTAATGTCTGTCTGCATGGCAAACCAGGGTGTGAACAGGTACGTGGGACAGGTCTGCTTTCACTGGTCTAAGGAACTTTTGAAAAGATCCGGTGCTTCCAGCAAGTACAGCCAATTCAGTAAAGAATTTTGATGGTAGATCATAAAGCTCCACCTTCTTCCAGCTCATACAGTTCTTTCTTAATCTGCACACTCTGTCTCTCCTAAAGCCCCAGCTGAATTTCTACTCTCGGTTAAGCTAACTGAGCTCACGGTGCTCTATTTTCACTTTAAGACCACAAACGGTTTACCTAAGCTGGGCCTAAAAAGAGAGTTGGACTCTCTGGGAAAGAACTCAGCCATCTCCTGTAACAAAGTCACCACATCAGCATCATCCCATATCTGGTCAATCCCTTAGTTAAAAGTCAGGAAGATGAGTTAATGATACGAAATGGTAGCAATAGGTGCTAATCCCTGGGAGAAGGAATTAGGGAATAGAGATTTACAGGTGGGCTGGTCCAAGCATTAGGCAGTTCACTTGCTGGAATGACAGCAGAGCTGGACAAAGACTGAATGGGAGGAGACCTGCTCTGATCCGTGCCGCGGTTGCTGCAGACTGCACACAGTTGCTAGTGCAGGAGAATCTGTTCGAGCGCCGCCAGCACGCTTTCAAATGTTTTTCATACGTCCTTCCCAGGACTGCTTTGAAAGCGTGGAGCCACTCTTCCAGCCAAGTGACAGGAACAGCTATGGAAACCTGCACAACCTGATCTCATTTGGTCCAGTTTTGAGAATGAAGAACAGGTTTCTATATAAACCTGTGGAAGGTGGGTCTCCTGTTTTTTCTTCTCTCTCTCTGTCTCTCTGTTGCAGAAGTTTCTGTTCAACTGTTCCTGCTGTAAGAAAAACAGTACACTTTTAACAACTTTCTTGACAGCCATCTGGTAGGACTGGATTATATCCCAACAACTTCTCATCTTTGTTTTGGCCTTCCCAAATCCCAAACATGATGGCTAATCAGTATCAGATCCGATAGACTTTCAGGCAGGAGACACAGCCAAATGTATCCTCTGCAGGAATTGAAGCTTTAGATGGAGGAGAGGGGAGAAAAGTAAGGCAGAATGTCCTCTAGCTGAAAAGCGTTTTCCTGCACGTTGCAGTATTTTGGTGAAACATGTTGACTAAGGATGAGGCATGACATCAAAATAATTGAGAGAGACATCCACTAACTCTTTCCTTCAGGTGTCTGGGTTTTAGATGAGATAGGAGGAATCGGGGTATAGGGGCCTCCTTTTAAATATTTTTTCCTGTTAGCTTTGCAGCTTTTAGTATGAAAGAGCAATGCAGTCATTTTTTGTACTGAGCGTAGGGAAGAGTCCCCGTATTTAGAGGCAGTTATCTGGTACAGCAAGGAAACACCATCCACAACTGGACAAATATCTAACTTAGGAATGTTAGGTGCAGAATGAGGTTGGTCAAGAGTCAGGAGCGTTTTCTTTTTCCTTTCTGTTCATAGGTGAAATGCAGCAGCTGGTTAATGTTAATTAGATGTTGTCCAGCTATTAGAAAGGAGTGACACTGAAACTGGCACATCATGAGCCTGAGAGACTTCTTAAATCTACTGGCATCATCCCTGAGAGTCACCTAAGTTCTTGTGTCTTTACTTGTTCATGCAAAGAGTATTTACTGCTGGGATCTTATGGCAAAGGAGGTAGTGTCTTTGAAAAGGCACTATCCATTCGGACTACTCTATGGAAAGAAACTTGGCCATACGTGCTTGGCATGTTATAAAGACGAAAGGGAGTTTAACCTTCTCTTTTTTCTCCCTCCCTCTCTTAACACTGTTCACTGCTTGATTACTTCTTTCTTTATTTCCAGGTCCTGATTCTGCCATGCTGGTACCCATTCTGCTGGGATGCCTTACTGGCTTTGCTGTCTTGGGCAGTGCTTTCATAAGCCTTTGGCTGCATCATAGACAGAAAACCAAAGACATACGCTATCCACAACTTGGAGAAATCCATGGCCTGTGAACTACGAGCAGCTGAGTGGTCCTGCAGATCCCACGCCACTGCTACAATGATCAGAAAAGCAATTGATTTTGCTTTGCAGACTGTATTGCTTTCGTAGAGCTTCTGCTGACCCAGGGAGCAAGGTCTCCAATCTCTGCTTTAAGCACATCTCTCCTTTCTTTTCTTCCGCGTGAGCGAGTCCACAAACCACGGAATAGAGAAAGAATTGTAGTAGTGGTCCAGCGAGAGGGGAGAGCAGTGCTTAAAACGCAGTATGTGCAGGCACCAGCACACGGTCTGTTCACAGAAATGGGAAAGCAGGCAGGAAACCAGGCTGCAGAAAAGCCACGTAAAATGAAGCACGGTAGACAAGAGCCGTGCCACCGAGGAGAATGGATTGTTAGGAAAAACGATGACACGCAAGTTTATCGGTTGGAAATGCAGACAGGACCCAAGAGCGCTAGAGGTCCAGCCACGCAGCTTTACAGCTTTTCTCACAGCTAAGGAGCTGAGGCCGGTTATACCTTTGCTTTCCTTCTGTTTTCTCGCTTTCAGTGGAAGCGAGTCTCCGCTACCTGCCTGTTGGTAAAACGCACACAGCGGGAGAAAGCTAAGACTGCAGAAGGCTTGGCGATAAGGCTGTAATGGGGGAGCACATAAAACCTCACCATCTTCGCCTTCTCGGTCCAGTTTCCTTACCGTTGGGGCCGGAACGCAGGCAGGAAAGGGGCCGCTGCCAGAGCCCCTCGTGTCGAGTGCAAGGCAGAGGCGGTTTGCGCTCCCTCCCGCCCCGCCCTGCCCCCGAGCAG